CCATCTATGATGTCTACTGCCAGAAGCACTACGGGGACGGCAAGTGCGACTACGGCTGTAACAATGCCGAGTGCAGCTGGGACGGGCTGGACTGCGAGAAGTCGGAGCAGTCGGCGCAGCTGGCGGAGGGCGCCATGTCCGTGATCATGCTGATGGATATGCAACAGTTTGCCAAGGAGCAGGCGCAATTCCTGCGCGAGATGAGCCACATCCTGCGGACGACGGTGCGCGTGAAAAAGGACGCCCTGGGCAACGACATGATATTCAGCTGGAAGGGCGCCTCCAGCATGCCGGACATACAGGACACGGAATTTGGCAGAAAGCACAAGATCCTGTACACCCAACGCAACGGCCAGACGGGCATCCAGATCTATCTGGAGATCGACAATCGCAAGTGCACGGAGTGCTTCAATCGGGCGCACGAAGCGGCCGAATTTCTGGGCGCCTATGCCGCAAAGCATACGTTCAACAATCGCTATCCGATCTACAGTGTGCGCGGCGTGAAGAGTCCGGGCGAGAGCGAGGGACCCGAATCGCCGGCCAATGTCAAGTTCGTCATCATGGGCATTGTCCTGGTGGTGATTGTGCTGGCCTTCTTCGGCATGCTGCTGGGCACCCAGCGGAAGCGGGCGCATGGCGTCACCTGGTTCCCGGAGGGCTTCCGGGCGCCGGCCGCAGCGGTCATGTCCCGACGCCGACGCGATCCCCACGGCCAGGAGATGCGGAATCTGAACAAACAGGTCGGCGGCCTCAACCAGGCCCAGGCCCATCAGCTGGGCGGCGTTGCCGGCGCCGGCAGCCACTGGTCGGACGACGAGTCGGACATGCCGCAGCCGAAGCGCCAGCGCGGCGATCAGATGAACAGCGGCGGACTGGGCGGCCTCGGCGGCTTGGGCGGCCTGGGCGGCGGCAGTGTGGCGGGCCTGACCAGCGTGGGCTATGCCAGCGATCATACGATGACCAGCGAGTACGAGGATCCCGATCCGCGTGTCTGGTCGCAGGCGCACCTGGATGTGGCGGATGTGCGGGCGATTATGACGCCGCCGGCGCATCAGGATGGCAGCAAGCACGACGTCGATGCACGCGGCCCGTGCGGCCTGACGCCGCTGATGATAGCGGCGGTGCGCGGCGGCGGCATGGACAGCGGCGAGGATATCGAGAACAACGAGGACAGCACCGCCCAGGTGATCTCTGACCTGTTGGCGCAGGGCGCCGAGCTGAACGCCACCATGGACAAGACGGGCGAGACGTCGCTGCATCTGGCCGCACGCTATGCGCGCGCGGATGCGGCCAAGCGGCTGCTCGACGCCGGAGCCGATGCCAATTGCCAGGATAATACGGGCCGGACGCCGTTGCATGCGGCCGTTGCGGCAGATGCGATGGGCGTCTTCCAGATTCTGTTGCGCAATCGGGCGACCAATTTGAATGCACGCATGCATGATGGGACGACACCGCTGATCCTGGCCGCACGCCTGGCCATCGAGGGCATGGTCGAGGATCTGATTACGGCCGATGCGGACATCAATGCGGCGGATAATTCGGGCAAGACGGCGCTGCACTGGGCCGCCGCTGTGAACAACACGGAGGCGGTCAACATACTGCTGATGCATCACGCCAATCGGGATGCCCAGGATGACAAGGACGAGACGCCGCTGTTCCTGGCCGCCCGCGAGGGCAGCTACGAGGCCTGCAAGGCGCTGCTCGACAATTTCGCCAATCGCGAGATCACCGATCACATGGATCGCCTGCCACGCGACGTGGCCAGCGAGCGGCTGCACCACGACATTGTCCGGCTGCTCGACGAGCATGTGCCACGCTCGCCCCAGATGATCAGCATGACGCCCCAAGCGATGATCGGCTCACCGCCGCCGGGCCAGCAGCCGCAGCTGATCACACAGCCGACGGTGATCGCCGCCGGCGGCGCGGCCGGCAAACAGAGCAGCCAGGCGGCCAAGCAGAAGGCGGCCAAGAAGGCCAAGCTGATCGAGGGCAATGGCGCCGACAGTGTGCTGGATGCGTCAGCGGGCGCGGGCGCTGCCACTGGGGCCGTGGCCAACAACATGGGCAGTCTGCGACGCAAGGCGAGCTCAAAAAAGGCCAACAACAACAACAACAACAACAATGGCAACAATGGCAACAGTGCTGCCTCAAAAAAGGCCATGAACGGTGCCCTGAATGCCGCCCAGCTGCTGACACAGGCGGCCAACAACAACAACAACAACAACAACAATTGCACAGACCTAGACTCGTCGGTGACGGCAGCAGCAGCAGCGGCGGCAGCAGCAGCAGCAGCGGCAGCGGCAGCAGCAGCCACAGCCAACGGCAACATCAACGTCAACGGGCAACTGGTGAATCTGCCCAGTCCGTACGACACCAGCTCCATGTACTCGAATGCCATGGCAGCGCCGCCCAACAACGGCAACAACGGCGCCAAGCAACCGCCGAGCTATGAGGACTGCATCAAGGTGAGTTGAGCGGACTGAGCCATGGGAAGAAAGAAACTCCTGATTAGGTTCAGGCAGAAGAAAGCGTGTTAGGGTACATACGGACTCTCTTGATCAAGCCGACGAACAGAGGAACAACTCCAGCCATGTCCGTCCGTATGCCAATCTAAGAATCTAGTACAGCTAGGGAAAAGGAAGCTTGCCTGACCACATAAGCTAGATGTATACTTGCTCAGAACTCCCAGCTGAGCCCATTTAGTCGACCGTCCGTCTGTCTGCATATCCGTCCGTATTGCGATCTCAGAAATTATTAGAGCTAAGGAAATTCCTTTTAGAATTTCTTGTTTAGGACGACGAGCTGAGTTGATCAAGCCATGTCCGTCTGTTTAAGCTTTACAAATCCCATGAAGTCTTGCTCAGGACAACGAACCGAATCTATTTATCTATCCGTCTGGATCAACGTTTCGATCATAGGAACGTAGTGAGCTATAACTAAAGCTAGTGAAAGGAAGGCATGGCAGACGTATATGTACTCTTGTCCCTTTACCTGCCCAAGCTGTTCGTCTCTCTATATGTATGAGAGCATCGACCTCGGGAACCTAAAAGAGCTACAGAATTTCCTTGTGAAATTTGTGTTTTTGAATATATGATACAAAAATATTACATAGGACGACAAGTTGAGCTGTTCTAGCCAAGTCCGTCCATCAGTTAGTGCCGATTCCATCCAATTTTTCTATGAATTGAAGTACACTTACATATATCCCCCATATATGCAGGAGTTTTCATTTTATCTAAAATGTCACATATAAAATCGAGTGTCTAGATAATATGCCGAACGTTTCATTTAAATCGAACAAGTAAAGCAAAAGTTATTAAAGAGAACGTCAAGTCCTATTGAGATTTAATGTTTGCCCTTTTCTCTGTTACAGAACGCCCAGTCGATGCAGTCGCTGCCAGCGAACAGCCTGGACATGATCAAGCTGGACACGTACGGCTATTCGATGGGCTCGCCATTTCAGCAGGAGATGCTGAATAGCCAGGCGCTGGGTCTGAGCGGCGGACGCAGCACGAACACCCTCTGCGGCCTGGGCAATGGGATGCCCAACGGTGGCCACGAGCAGGGTCTCAGTCCGCCCTATTCGAACCAATCGCCGCCGCACTCGGTGCAGAGCAGTCTGGCTCTATCGCCGCACGCCTATCTGGGTAAGTGGACAGACGTTAATGGATGGATGGAGCAACTGGGTACTGACTCTTCTTCTCCTGCTGTAGGCTCTCCCTCGCCGGCCAAGTCGCGGCCCAGTTTGCCCACATCGCCCACGCACATACAGGCGATGCGGCATGCCACACAGCAGAAGCAGTTCGGCAGCAATCTGAACAGCCTGCTCGGTGGCGGCAATGGCAACGGCTCGCCCGTCAGTCTGGGCATCATTTCGCCAACGGGCAGCGATATGGGCATCATGCTGGCGCCTCAGTCCTCCAACAATGCTAAAAGCAGTGCAATAATGCAAACGTTGTCCCCGCAAATGCAGCAGCAGCAGCAGCAGCAACAGCAGCAGCAGCAGCAGCAACAACAGCAGCAGCAGCAACAACAGCAGCAGCAACAGCAGCAGCAGCAGCAACAACAGCAGCAGCAGCAACAGCAGCAGCAACAACAGCAACAGCAGCAACAACAGCAACAAGCTCTTGGAGGCCTTGAGTTCGGTTCAGCCGGCTTGGACTTGAATGGATTTTGTGGATCTCCGGGTAAGTGTGCAACCCTATGCCAGCTCTCCCAGAAATTGCATAACTCAATCTCCCTCTCTGTGTCTCTCCCTCTCTCTCCCCATCAGACTCATTTCACTCGGGTCAAATGAATCCGCCTTCGATACAAAGTTCAATGTCGGGCTCATCGCCGTCGACCAACATGTTGTCGCCCTCGTCGCAGCACAATCAGGCCTTCTATCAGTACCTAACGCCGCCGAGCCAGCATTCGGGCGGCCATACGCCGCAGCATCTGGTGCAGACGCTGGACAGCTATCCGACACCGTCGCCCGAATCACCCGGCCATTGGTCGTCCTCATCGCCGCGCAGCAATTCGGATTGGTCCGAGGGCGTGCAGTCGCCGGCGGCCAACAATTTGTACATCTCTGGCGGCCATCAGGCCAACAAGGGCTCCGAGGCCATTTACATTTGACATAAGCGCACCTAGAAGGCAAAGGCGGACGTGGGCGTGGCCACTCAAAGTGCGCCAGGCAACGGGAAGGGGCCCAGAACTCGTGTGGCAGCCGGCAGCCAGCAGCAGCCAGCGGGGCCGAAGACCTTTTGGACTATTCAACCTAACCCGCAACCCGAGCACCTGCTCCTCACCTCTAATTCTATGAACAATTTTTTTTTTTACTTAGAAACTAAGCTTTAATTTAAAATCAGAAATGAAACGAAAAAAAAAAATCATAATTATTATTGTAGTAAT